ATTATTTCAGAATAGCATAGTATTATTTCAAAAACCCTAAAGCTTTGCAGCCCCCAAATACATAAATATATCCATGAAAACATACATACATATGTAAAATGTAGCTAGTACAGGATATTAAAATGAGAAGAAAACATATTAAACAAAAAAACTCAACTAAAAAAGGGAAACAAGATGGTGGCATAGGCAAATGCCTGTACTCGCTGCCTCTCACAACCACATCAAAATTACAACTAAAATAGAGAACAACCATCATCCAGAGCCATCTGAAAGCTGGCTGAATCGAAGTCCTACAACTAGAGAAGTAAGGAAGAAAGCAACTGAGACTGGTAGGAGGGGCAGAGGCACAGAAGGGGCTGGTCTGGCACCCACGTGGGCTGCTTTTTTAATCAGGAGGGAGATCATCTCTGCAGAGGCCACCAGAGGAGCAAGGGGTCCCAGACCCACACCAGACCCCCAGCTCAGGGTCCCAGAGCTGGGAAAAGAAATTCCTATGGGCAATGAGAACTACAGGCTGTAAAAACCAGTGCAGATTGGGGCTCAGCAACACAGAGGCTGCTGGAGACCCAGCTACTCCTCTTAAAAGGCCGGCACCACGAACTGAACTTACAAGATCCTGCTTCCTCTGAGCTCCAGCACCAGGGCGAGGCTCTGGGGGACCCAGACACATATGATTGTCTGGCATCTGGGCAGGAACTCGAGGGTGGCTTTATCTCAGATGGAGGTGCTCGCAGGGGTCACTGTTCCTATACTGGGACCTACCCATCACAGGGCTGACTGGCAGCCATTTCTGTTTGCTCCACCCTGGTGATTCCCTGAGACCTGGCCTCATCCAATTTACAACCCCACCCAAGCTGCTTGCAACAGCTTTTGCATATGAATGGCCTTTCCTTGCTCAGGGTAAGATCTGTCAAACAAGCTGCAGCTGGGTCAGAGAGCCCCAAACCTATCAATAAAAGGCCCCCAAACCAGCATCAGCACCAGCCTGCCTTGCTTCACAGCTGGGCCTCATCTGGGCACTTCCAAACCTGATACAAAGAGGAGGAATCTGCAGCTCTCTCTGTAGCTCCTGCTGGGTGGCCCCAGGCAGTGGCTGACCTTGCAACTCCCTGGAGACCCAAGAACCAGTGTACCCAGTGGTCAGTGTCAGACCGTACCAGACTACATCTCTACACATCCATAAGAGACACACTCAAGGGGCAGACTCAGTGAGCACCAAAGCCTCACTGTAGTCCCAGCTGGTCCACACAGCCAACTGGCCTGGAGGACAATTCCTCCCAGTGACACAAACAGCAATCATGTCTCAGCTATAAGAAGACTGTGCTCACATCCCACAAAGGGGTGCACCGAGAGTGTCCACCTCAGGTGACTGGGGAGGCTGAGCCACTAGGCCCTATATGACACCTACTATACAAGACCACTCCATCAATTCAAGGAGACATAGCAGCTCCACCCAATACATAGAAACAAACACAGGGAAGTAGACTAAATGCGGAGACAAAGAAACATGTCACAAATGAAAGAAATGGAAGAAAGCAAACTACTGGATTTAGAGTTCAAAACCGTGGTTATAAGATTACTTAATAATCTTCTAGAAACCTCCAAGGAACTTAGTGAGACTTTCAAGGATCTTAGTGAGAATGCCAAATACATGGAAAAGGACTAGTCAGAAATTAAGCATACACTGACTGAAATAGAGAATAGCATACAGGGATTCAACAGTAGACTAGAGGATTCTGAGAATCAAATCAACAATTTGAAATATGAGGAAGCAAAAAACACCCAACCAGAAGAGCAAAAAGAAATAAAAATCCGAAAACATGAAGATAGTGTAAGAAACCTCTGGGACAACTTCAACCATACCAATATCTGCATTATGAGGGTGCCAGAAGTGGAGAGAGAGCAAGATATTGAAAACCTATTTGAAGAAATAATGACAGAAAACTTCTACCTGGTGAAAGAAATAGCCTTACATGTCCAGGAAGCACAGAGAGTCTCAAATAAGAGGAACCCAAAGATGACCATACCAAGACACATCATAATTAAAATGCCAGGGGCTAAAGACAAAGAGAATCTCAAAAGCAGCAAGAGAAAAACAGTTAGTTACCTACAAGGGAGTACCCATACGACTGTCAGCTGATTTCTCAACAGAAATATGCAGGCCAGAGGGAGTGGCAAGAAATAGTCAAAGTGATGAATAGCAAAGACCTACAACCAAGATTACTCTATCCAGCAAAGCTATCATTTAGAATTGAAGGTCAGATAAAGAGCTTCACAGACAAGAAAAAGCTGAAGGAGTTCACCATCACCAAACAGTATTATATGAAATGTTGAAGGGTATTCTTTAAGAGTAGGAAGAAGAAGAAAAATAAAAAGATAAAAAATATGAACAAGAAAATGGCAGCAAATACATACCTGAAAACAAATGAATCTAAAAATCAAAATAAAATGGTGAATAAAATAGAATGAGAGGCATGGAAATGGAACAGATTGATGATTCTCAGAGGGAAGGGGAAATAGGAAGAGATTAAGCAAAGATCTTATATGCATATATGCATTACCTATGGACACAGACAATAGGGTAGCGAAAGCCTGGGGCAGGGTGGGAACTGGGTGGAAAAAAGAATATCTGTAATAATCTCAACAATAAAGACTTTAACAAGAAAAAAAAATCAACTAATCTAAAGAAGGCATGAAAAGAGGAAAAAGGGACAAAGAGCATATAAGACAAATAGAAAACAACTTGGAAGATTGTAGACTCAATCCCAGCTATATCAATAATTACATTAAATGTAAATTAATTAAACACCAATTAAAAGATGCATATTGACAGAATAAATCAAAAAAGCAAGGCAACTATGTTGCCTACAAAAACAAACAAACAAACAAACAACAACAACAACAACAAAAAAACACTGTTAATATGAAGCCAGAGCAGGTAAAAGTAAAAAGAGGGGAAAGGATACATATGGAAACATCATAAGAAAGCAGGAGTGGCTATATTAATATCAGAGAAAGTAGATTTCAGGAGAAAAAATATTACCAGCAATAAAAAGAACTTGTATATCAAGAAGACATAACAGCTCTAACTGTAAAACCACTTGGGAAGCGGTTGGGAATTTCTTTTAAAAGTATGACTGAGCAATTCCACTCCTAAGTATGTACCTACAAGAAAGAAAATATAAGTACACAAAAATACTTTTACAAGAATATTCACAGCAGCTTTTTGATAACCCCCAAACTAGAAACCACTGAAATATTCATCAATATGTGAACGAATAAACAAATTGTGGAATATTACTCAGCAATAAAAGGGAACTACTGCTACAAAAACATCACTGTGAATCTCAAAAACAAGCTGAATGAGAGTAGCCAATCACAAAAGAATACGTACAGTTTAATGCCATGTTTATGAAGTTCTAGAACAGGCAAAACTTGCCTTTAGTGATGTACATTAGATCAGAGGTTGAAGATTATCCTCCTAGGAGGAGACATGGGGAATTTGGGGGTTGCGGAAATGGTCTACGTCTTTTTTTGAGCTGAGATAACACCGTATATTTCTCAAAACTCAACCAGTGTACTTTTAAAATGGGAAGTTTTTATTTCTCTAAATTATACCTCAATATGTTGCCTTTAAAATAAAAACAAGGGAACCGAGTTTTAAGGATAGTTAGCAGAAAGAAAGATAACTCTGAGAACTGCAAAGAATTTGTTTTGCTACAAGGAACTTGTTAGGGATTTTAGAAAACACTTTTATTGAAAAGATGGGTAGAATCCAGGAAACAAGACATGTTAGCCTCATTTACCTAGAACGAGAAATTCAAATAGAAAACACACGGACTTTTCTATTTCAATGAGTGCCTCTCAAACATTGGCGGGAGGTCTTGTTAAAATGCAGGTTCTGGTGCAGCCTCAGATGAGACTGGACAGTCTACATTTCTAACAAGATGCCGGGAGATGTGGCTGCTGCTGGTACCTCTGCTACCCTTTAAGCAGCAGGAACACACATCGCATTGATGATTTATATCAAGGGACGAATTGGTCTATAGATTCCCAAGATGTATGGAATCCATTCCTCCCGTTAGTTACATGTACACTGACAACTCAGCCCGTTTTCTATTTGTGAATGTAACCAGTTCAGGTGCACAGGATGCTCTGGAAAATAGCAGCGACTTTACACCTGCAGCCTTGGGTTCAAGTCCCAGCTCGGGTTCTAAGCAACCGATCATCTGGGTTCCCACCTCCAGGCTGCAAAATGCGAGAACTGTCCCGGCTCCCCCTCTCTAGGCTGTCGTGAGGATCACAACAGAAAATGTAAGCGCAAGCAGTGGCATGAACTAAACCCTAAAAAGAAAAAAAAAAGAATGACTTCAAATGTCGAGCACCGCCAGCAGGAGGTTTCACTTACCACACTTTTAAAAGAAGCGGGACCTAAAATAAGAGGTGGGGCTCCGGGAGAACCCCCTTGGGCGGGCTAGGAATGTGCCATCTTGTAAGAGGGGGCGCCCCTTTCAAAAAAAAAAAAAAAGCTGTAAAATGTCAGCTTCTGCTTTTCTCACAGTAGCCTGCAATGATGCAACTTGACATTGGAACTTTTCCCCCGTCGCCTACTTCCACGGGCACCGCAGTTCAATGACACTCTTTCACTTCGGTCTGCTGACTTCACACAAAGTCCTCCCCACGCATCTGCGTCCCTGGCTCGCACCCGCTCGGCACGGTCCTGCCCCCGCACCCCGCGGCCCCCCGCCCCGGGCCCGGAGTTTCCACTACGAAGGGGGAGGTGGCGATGGACTCCTCCACCTCCTCGCGGGAGGCGGGGGCGCGCGAGGCGCCGCGCTCCGGGGAACCGTGCGAAACCTGGGCGAGGCGACGCGGGGATCCCGACAGCGTCCGAGTACAGGGCGCGGCATCGGGGCCGGAGGGGAGGCGCGGGGCCCGCCACCCCGGGGCGAGCGCGCACCTGCGCCCCGGCGCGCCACCACCCCCGGAGCCTCCGGAGGGTGGCACGTGCGGGAGGGGGCGGGCCGGGTGCGCGGGCCGCCCTCGCCGCGGCCGGAAACAATAGTGCAGGAGCCCGAGCCGCGCGGATCGGCGGCGGCGGCGCGCGGAGTTGGACGGTAAAGACCCCGCGCCCCGGCCCCCGACCCTCCTGTGCCGCGATCCCACGGTCCCGCCGACTTCGCGCTCGCTGTCCGCGGCCGCTCGCGCTGCTCCGCTTGGGGGCGCCCAGGCGGACGAACGGACGGGGAGAGACGGACTGGGGACCGCGGCACCCCGCGGGGTGGACCCGCCTCCCCAACGCCGGAGACGGCGGGGGGCCCGACTCAGTCCCCCGGGCGCGCAGTCTGGTGGCCTGGGTCCTCGGGCGCCTTCTCGGGATGGGCGGGAGCCCAGGGCGAGGGGAACCCACGGCTCCTCCCGGCGCGACTGGGTCACCCCGCCGTCCGCGGGACCCGACCCGCGCGGGGGAGCCGCTGCCCGGTTTCGGGCGCTGCGGGTGCTTTGGCCGAGGGGGGGGACGCCCCAGCCCCGGTGTTCGCGTCCGCACGTGCATTTCCCTGCCGCCGATCTCGGGCAGGAAGCCCCGCGACGCCGCGGAGTTAGCGAGCCGGCATCTAAGGTTCCCACAATGAAGTTAGCAAGCAGCGCCCGGAACAGGTCGCTTTTCCTGCGTTTCACCGCGCGGAGTAGGTTGCCAGACCCCGGCGGCGGCAAAGGCTTCGCGCCCAAGTTCTCTCGGTGCGCGATCGGGGGATGGAAGGGCGGGCTGGAATTCCCGCAAACCGCCTTCCTTCCTACCCCTCCCCCGACCCATTGAAATATGGGGCCAAAAAAGGCGTAGTGTCTGCTAGGCGAGGCTAAGGGTTCCTAGGTCCGTGTCTCTGCTCGATGAAAGCATGGTGCTGAAGTGCAAGTGCTTGTTGGATGGGACTGTGGCCTTAGGCAGGCTGCACAGCATCCTTCTCTTCCTAGAAGTTGCCCGTGTTGCCCTGAGGACAAGCCCTTGCAATTGCGTAACTTTCCTTTTCTGTTTCTTCACAGGGGCACTATGAACGAAGAGGAGCAGTTTGTAAACATCGATTTGAATGATGACAACATTTGCAGTGTTTGTAAACTGGGGACAGACAGAGAAACCCTCTCCTTCTGCCACGTTTGTTTTGAGCTGAACATTGAGGGTACGTACGGAGGAGAGGTTCATTTGATGGCATGAACTTGATACAGCTGCTTTATGGGAACTAGTGATGAGGCAAAAGAGAAATTTCTTACATGGTTGCAAATTGTGTGAAGTGTGGAGATCTGTTAAAGATAAGAGTTTGTGGAAACAAAGGTGAAGTTAGCAGAGCCAAGAATTTATTTTAAAAATATATATATTTTAAGCTCCCACAGTACTAACCCCATTTTTGCTAATATAAAAATGAGGAGTATTGACTGGTAATATGTTTTGTGCTTTGAGAGCTTATGAAGTTATGAGATTTTAGCAAACATGTGGGCATGGGTGTGTGTGTGTGTGTGTGTGTGTGTGTGTGTGTGTGTGTGTGGTTTGTTTTGAATTAATTGAGAACTAAGGTAACCAAACATTTATTGTGATAGGCAAATGTAATTGTATTCCATGCTGGTTTCCCCAGTGCTATCTTACTATCTAGAAAAAAATGTTTTAATTTTTAGTGGTGACTCACACCTTTAATAATTTCTTAAAATTAAAAAGGCTTTTAAAATGCCTTAATAATATTTCTAAGAGTTCCCCAAATACTTTGTTAAAAATCTGTTATTGAGACTCTTTATTTGGATTAGTGCACAGTTAATGTGTCTATAGATGGCAATAACTTGCTCCCAAGAAACGTGGGAGATGTTTCTTAAATCTTGATGTTATCGTGATAAAACTGTGATTTTTAAAAATATTTGAGTCAGGCTAAAAAGAATATTCTGATAATAAAAAAGTTTACCTTAAGTCTTCTGAATTTTGAATTGTAACATCAGCAGAGACATTTTTTTTTAGACGTGTAGATTTTGGGTGATTTCAAAGCAGTATTTCATTCTTTTTGCCAGTTTGCATATTTGATAATTTTCATTATCTTTTTCTATTAATTAAGTAGGAAATATGAAAAGAAAAAGGAAGGAGAAAGAAAAAAATACACATTAGGATGATATACCTTGAGATTCCTATTAGGACTTACTTTTCAGAAATTGTTGTAGGCACCAAATTAATATATATAGATATTCTATAGTAAAAGTCAAAATTATAACCATAAGTAGACTGCTAAAAACATGTAGAGTTGTTTATGTGACAGTCATCTTTCATAAGATCAAATTGGTTATGACAGTTTTGCTATGATACTCTCTGGAAGAATTCTAGTTGCTGAACATGATAATTGACAGAAGCTCATGGATTTCCTATAGGTTTCACACATATAACTTTGGCTTTAATAAATGTAGTAAATATAACTGATTTCAAAGAGATGGCTTATAAAATATGATTCTTCTGTATCATTTAAATTACTGTACCCTTTATTATGCTAGCATGAAAGATTATAAATTTATGTTTTTTGGAAATAGAGTTGGCCCTATATATTCTTTTACTTGTAGATTTTCATTTTAGATGGGCAGAAGCATTAGAAATGATCTAATTCAAACCTATATTTTACACTGAAGGAAACAGCCAGACTGTTGGACTGTTCAAGGTTGCGCCAATGGTGATGGCAAGCTGTTAAGTCCCAGGCATTTACTGTGAGCAATTCTGTGCCAGGCACTGTATTAAATAAGCACCTTACGTGGATTATCTTAGCTCAAAATAGCTCTGGGGTAGCTCCTTTTTATCCATTTTAGAGGTGATGGAATCTAACCTTTGAGACCCAAGAAATATACTTTGAAGTCACAGAGCAGTAATTGACAGTCCTGGACTTTGAAGCCTGATCATTTAGGTCTAGTATATGTGATCTTAATTTCATTGATCTGCTGTCAATAGTTACTTCAACTGATAGGGCTAATATCGGAAACCTGTTTTGCTGAATCCTAATTGGCTACCCTTGCTATTCGGTTAGCCAACTGTTTCTAACTAGTGCTTCCTGCAAAATCTTTAAAGGTATTCATGCTGTGATAGAATTTTTCTACAGAAATCTAAACTTTCACATTACTTTTCTAGCCTTTTTTAAAATATGTCTTTTAACTGGTTCTTAATCACTATATAAAGAATATACAAATATTTCTCAGGTACCATCCTTATAAATATTTCATCTCTAATACAACAGCTATCTCAATTTGAATTAGGACTATGTTATATTCTATCTACACTCAAGGTTTTATGTTCTTAATGCCAGTTAAACCTTTGTGAGAAAAATTAACTTAAAAATAAATTTTCTTCTCACTTTATCTGAAGTCTGTTCTCAGTTCTTGCAAATATAATACATTTTCATATCAACCACAATGATGAGCTGGAACAATATAATCATTTTAGTATCCTAAGATTATTTTTGAAATCTTAGGAATTTTAGGGGGGAAAAAAGGAAGAAAGTGAGGACCCTGAATCGCACAAAATTTTTGTTTTTATATCAGCGTACAGGTTTTTAGAAACCAACAAAAAAAGTGGTAATAAAATAATTCCATACCTAAAAATAACAAGGTATATTCTTTGTCTATGTCAGTAAACATTTTTAAATGTTTTTGCAGTTTCCTTTCCTCTACTGTGTTCTCAGCACAGTGCCAGTCAATAAATGTTAGAATGTAAAAGAGATTTTAAAAACTATGATATTTAACTTTACTAGTTTGGTATAAGTATTTCATAATATGATAATGTTGCTATTGCCTGTTTTCTTAGCATACTAATTACTAAATTCACTCGAAAACATTCTATTTGTTTTTTGTTTTTTTCAGGTAAGAGGCTAATTAAAAATTCCCTTAAAGAATTTTAAGACTACTTTTGTTTTGTTTTTTGTTTTTATAATTTATCAGGGTAACATTGGTTAATAAGATTATAGGTTTTAAGTGTACATTTCTGTGATGAATGATCTGTATACTGCATTGTGCTCTCACCATCCAAAGAAAGATCGTCTTCCGTCACCATATATTTGGCCCAAGGCTAGGTTTTGAGTTCAGAATTAGGCTAGTTTAGAGCCCACATACTTGTAGTAAACAAAAATGTTTTACACCTTTTGGATTATTGCTTACGTCGAATCAAAACTGGTCTAATCAAATGGCCTCTTTTTTAAAAGCTGTGTGCCTGCATATATTTATAAAATGAAGATTAAAGAAAAATAACAAAAGATAGCCTAATCTTGCATGAGAGATTCCATATTCTGAGTATGGCTCTAGGTTGCCTTTTTTTCTGTGACTTTACGGTAATTAAAAGGTAATGGGGGGGGACGGGGAATTGGGGGTTAATGGGGGGATGAGGATACATTTGTAATATCTTAACCAATAAAGAAATTAAAGAGAAAAAAAAAGGGAATGGGTATATCTACATTTTAGATACTTAAAAGACATGGGTGATATATAAGGGACCTAAAAATTATACTTTGAAGACTTAAATGTTCACAAGATTCCTTTTATTGTCACCTATAATTCACCATTAAAATAAAATAACTTGTATGTGTCTAGGATTAGGAGACAGACGCATAAACTTCTTATATTTGTAGCCTGTCCTTGGCCTTAAGACACCATAAAGTTTTGTGGTTTTTTGAGTATATGATTAAATACACTAATATGCTTCATAATTCATTGTGCTAAAACTTCTAAAGTTGTTTTATGACCAAATGAGTATAATCCCTAAGCTGTTGAGGCTGGGAGGAAAGTAGCCCAGGGTGGTCAGGAGCCAGTAAGGAAACTCAACTGCAATCTAACTGAGGCAGAAATGAACTAGAGAGGGAGAAGATTCAGGGCTCCAATCTGTTACTTCATGCTCTGTTTTCATTTTGTGCCAAAATGCTGTGCATATAATTAGTGTTTCTACCTTTCTCTAATAATTTGCTTTCTTCCTTTTCTATAGAGAGAAACTTTTTTATAAGATTGGCTTAGCACTGGCCAGTGCGTCTCAGTTGGTTGGGCTTCATCCCGTGCCCAGAAGAGTTGCTGGTTGGGTTCCGGTCAGGGCACATGCCAAGGTTTCAAGCTTGATCCCTGTTGGGGGACATGCAGGAAGCAGCTGATCAATGTTCCCCTCTCACATCAATGTTTCTCTCTTCCCTCTCCCTTCTCCTCTCCCTAAAAACCAATTTAAAAAAAATCTTAAAACTTAAGATTGGGTCAATTCCTAAGCAAAGTTTCCAGTGTAGGTTGATCTTGCTAGTTGATTAGTGTGCATTACTAATTCTTAATAGTCCAGCTCATTATAGCCCATCTGAATTTTGATTCTCCCCTAATTTGTTGAACTTTTCTAGAAGCCTGCCCAAATTCAGATCCTTAGTAATCTTTCCAAAATGAAAAATCTATAGGTTTTCTCTTGGTTAAGGCACTGGTGAACCCAATGCTTATGTTTACTCTCATTCTTCATTATCTGTATGTGACTGAAATGCTGTCCATATGGTCAGTAGTCCAGGAGCAGTTTGAATATCAGTATTAAATCCTTGATAGCATCTCTCCACTTAAATAAAGGGGGCCACCGTTTTTGGTGGGGAAACTATGTACAGTCTAGAAAACTCCATCTGGTATTAGCTTCTTTCTCTTATTTTCCCATAAAGGCAAACAATGCGATGTTATTACCGAAACACGCATTTTAAAATATAAAGCCTAATGTGAGTTTAGACGATAATGAGCATTAAACTTCACTAACATTAATAGAACATTTTAGAAATATTTAAAACATACTTAGAAAGTGTCCCTCTGTTGACATTCTAATAAAACTTAAGTCTGTCAGTGTTTATTATTAAATGTAATATAAAGATACTATATCTGCATAGCACTTGAAAGGTTGAAAGGTACTTTTACAGCACCTTAAATTTAATCTTCATATTATATAGGAAGTTACTTAACATTAAGTGTGAATTTCAAATAAGGTAATACTCAGTGATGGAAATCAAAGTGGCTAAGTAACACTGTAAAATTCTCAAAAGTTACCAGCACAGTTCTAGTTAGGATGGATTATAATTATTCTAACCCAATTTGGCAACCACATCTTTAGGATTTTGATAAGGGGTTTCAGTAGGTTTTTCTGCTCTAGCTGCCATAATTTCCCTCGTGACTGGTG